ACCAGCAGAAAAGTGCTGGTTAACTTGAAACTATCCTCTCTTGTAACGTGTTTATCTTCCTGAAATTCCTTACAGTTCAGAAAATCAATGTGGCCGCCATGAAGACAATACATGATTCTAAGAGCACACGGTCAAAACTTTCCTTCAAACACGCATTTACATTAGTACATGTCGACACATAAGCTCAAAAACTATTTTCGCTAAGCTGTAGAATTTCAAGTCAACTAAAAATTAACTAATAATTTCGAACATCCAGTCTCAGATTGTTTTTATAGCATATAGAGGAATAATTCACTAAGCTTGACATTGAAACCCTGAGCTCGTTAATTTCAAACAAAAGAAAGTCAACATATTTTATCAAAAAACTAAGCCCCACAAACCCCACGAAACGTGACTTATCGCCAACATGTCTGCAGTACATTTTTAAAGTAGATCGATGGATGAGGCAACATAATCCAGTTGGAGCTATCAACTTAATGAGCCACAATACTCTCAGAAGTATCAATACAAGAAATGTATGATAATTGGAAAAGTGAATTCCTCTTTTGAGTTTGACGCTGAAAGGGTAAAGAAACAGAATTCGAGTCCAGGGACGCCCGATCTTATAATGCACGTGACCAGTGAGCTACCTATCGGCTTTTTCTTTTTCTTTTTTTTTTTTTTAAGGTCGCTTCTAAAATAATACCGAGCAAAATGTGTACAACTCAGAATTCGCACTGAACTACTTTACTTAAAAATTTAATGCGAGAAAGAAAGAAAGCTAAAACACTCACCATGCCCAAAATATCTTCAGCGTCAAAAAGTTTAAATATGAGCGCGAGACTAACCCCTTTTCGGGTTAGTTTCTTTCTCTGAATGTTTTTAAACTGCATCTAATCTTTGTGATAACGTCCTAAATATTGTGGTATAAATGAGAGATCCTTTTTTCGCTACCAACGATGTAACAACATATCGTGACAACCAGAAAGGTACTAAAATAAAAGCGAAGTGAATTTCTAAATGATGTAACGCGCTATTTAGTGTAAGAGTGGGATAATCAAAAGCTCCTTCCTTCTTTGCAGGCCAGTAACCAGGATTCTTTGTTGGGCGTGCGACCGAGGCCAAAGTGGACCAGCCTATCGAAATATTCTTATAGATCGTCTGAGCCCTTTTACCCGTTAACACTATTGATTAGATAATTTTGGAAAAGGCATTCCTACATAAACGGGCCTAGCTGAGGACAGTGTGTACCGCTATCGAAAATTACCAAATGAATGTACTTTCGCTTTAGATTTGCCATTGTGAAACTAGAAATAGATTGGTTTGGTTGGTATTTAAACCGCCAAGAAGATACAGACCGTAACGTGATTTTTCTCTAGTTGCAACTTGATATGACCACAGGAAAAGCAACAGGTGATGTGTTTCAATTCTTCAATTTCACGTGCCAAAAACGTCAATCTTTTTCACCACCATGTACAAAGAGCCACTCCAGGTGAAAAACCATCCACTGGTTGTAAGGAAAACCACCGTTTAACAGTTCTAGAAGGTCATTAAAAGCACTCTGTACCACAATGTAAACATGACTTCCTGGCATGTTTCGGGACAAGATAAAACGGATGCTCGATGCTCAGTCCAGTAATTCGTCCAGCTCGTCACTGTCTTCACTGTCGTCAGAACGCAACATGAAATCCATCTCTTCTATCAATTCTGCAACATCCAAATCCTCGGTGCTATCAGAACAAGTGAGATTCTGAATTGCTGCCGTTGGTTTTCCCACTTGTCCACCACATGCCTCGGTCATCTTTTCACTGCCCATCCCCTTCGACAACGGCAATTTTGACAAAACCTCCCCCTTCAATCCACACAGTTTTATTACCATCAGTCGACTGAAAGAAGTCAAACAAACAAGCTTGTCCTTTTCACCAGACAAAGCCATGCTGATGACGCTTTCCCGTCCTTGTACAATTTTTGCGAAGGCAACGGCTTTCCACTCACTTAAGTCCCACAAGAACACAGTACCATCGACACCATATGAAATTAGATACCGGTTTCCTTTCAGAAACTGACAAAATTCGACTCTGCCTAAATGCGCACGTGGTAGTTGCAGAGTAGATTGATCTGTTGATGTTTTGAGCGGGCAGAGGAAAATTCTGTCTGTAATGCAGTAAGCCAACAGGCCATTTTCTGGTGAAACTGAACAAGCAGTGAGTTTGAAGACCTTGGCGTGAGGCAAGCTAGTTTCAACTCTTCTCAATAAGCGACATGGATTTGATGTATGATCCCAAAAGTCGATGCCAACTTCAGAGCATATTATTAATTCCGTATTGTTTGACGCGAAACAACAGCAACAATCTTCAGGTGTCAGTCCTGGTGAGTCAAATGATGCTGATAGCACTTTCTTCTGAACATTCCATACAAAGAAAGACAGGTCAGTGATTCTCCGTATACAAAAAAAGAGTAAGGTGCTGTCCGCTGAGAATGTGAAATGCAGAACAATGAAATCGCCATTTGTTTCAAAAACGGAGTCAGGACACTTACCATGTTCCGTAGTCGCCTCATTAGATCCAGGCACAGTACGATACAGTAGTATATTAGTGCCTTGGTGAGTGGCAATTACTTTTCCGTCCGGGGAAAATTGACCCTTCTTCACTTGTTGCGACTTACCAAAAGGATGTGTCAAGAACGTGTTCAAAGCCAGGGGTGTTCCGTCATTCTTCATTAACGCAAGCGTGGAGTCTATATAAAGGACAAGTATGGCGTCTGTTGAAGCGAAGGCTGCTTGCATTGGTTCATCCTTCACAACTGGAAGGAAATTCGCAAGAAAAATGGTGTGAAAATCCTTCACAAAGATAATAGTCTCCTCATCATCTTCTTGAAAGCAATACCCACATTGCTTTTCAGGAGTAAGGGACAAGGGTCTTACGCCAGACACACTAGTTAGAATGGTACCACTCTCAAGAGACAGAGTGTGCAATGACCTTTGAACAGTCAAATACAAAAAAAATACACTGTCGTTTGCGAAAGCAAATTGTTCGACCTCCTTGATAACATGCACCGGATTTCTCCAATAAGGGTAATGTTGACGTTGGTGTTGTCCTCGGTACAACTGAACTGTTGTCTCATCGCCCTCGAGTCGGATAGCGATCCACNTCAACTCTTCTCAATAAGCGACATGGATGTGATGTATGATCCCAAAAGTCGATGCCAACTTCAGAGCATATTATTAATTCCGTATTGTTTGACGCAAAACAACAGCAACAATCTTCAGATGTCAGTCCTGGTGAGTCAAATGATGCTGATAGCACTTTCTTCTGAACATTCCATACAAAGGAAGACAGGTCAGCGATTCCCCGTATACAAAAAAAAAGTAAGGTGCTGTCCGCTGAGAATGTAAAATGCAGAACAATGAAATCGCCATTTGTTTCAAAAACGGAGTCAGGACACTTACCATGTTCCGTAGACGCCTCATTAGATCCAGGCACAGTACGATACAGTAATATATTAGTACCTTGGTGAGTGGCAATTACTTTTCCGTCCGGGGAAAATTGACCCTTCTTCACTTGTTGCGACCCACCAAAAGGATGTGTCAAGGATGTCTCCCAAGCAATGGATGTTCCGTCATTCTTCATTGACGCAAGCGTGGAGTCTGAATAAAGGACCAGTATGGCGTCTGCTGAAGTGAACTGAGTGAAGGCTACTTGTATTGGTTCAGCCCTCACAACTGGAAGGAAACTAGAAAGTAAAGCGGGGGGGAAATCCTTCACAAAGATAATAGTCTCCTCGTCATCGTCTTGAAAGCAATATCTAGATTGCTTTTCAGGAGCGGAGCACAAGGGTCCTACGCCAGACACACTAGTTAGAATGGTACCACTCGCAAGAGACAGAGTGTGCAATGACCTTTGAACAGTCAAATACAAAAAAAATGCACTGTCGTTTGCGAAAGCAAAATGTTCGACCCCCTTGATAACATGCACCGGATTTCTCCAGTAAGGATAATGTTGACGTTGGTGTTGCCCTCGGTACAACTGAACTGTTGTCTCATCGCCCTCGAGTCGGATAGCGATCCACTTCCCATCTGGTGATACACAAGGTAAAATGCTAGTAAACAGGCCTTTCTCTTTTACATCAGGGAGATTCTGCAGTTCCAGTGGTGCGTTGGTGAAGGTCTTAGTACCAAAATGAAATGCTTCCAGAAACTTGAACTTCTCATTTGATTCCAAACGGTACCAAAATAAGTGTACCAATTCTTTAAACTGTGCAAATCGTTTAGCCCAAGATTGTTGAAGGTGACGCCTTTCAAGCTGTGTAAATCGTTCAAGCCGTTCAAGCAGTTCAAGCTGTACCCGCTCTTCTCTTCGTTCAAACTCTTTTCTTCGTTCAAGCTCTTCTCTTCGTCTAAACTCTTCTTTTCGATCAAACTCTTCTCTTCGTTCAAACTCTTTTCTTCGTTCAAAATTGTCTCTTCGTTCAAACTCTTCTCTTCGTTCAAACTTTCTTCTTCGTTCATACTCTTCTCTTCGTTTAAGCTGTTCTCTTCTTTCAAACTCTTCTCTTCGTTCAAGCTCTTCTCTTATTTCAAACTCTACTTCTCTTCGTTCAAGCTCTTTTCTTCGTTCAAGTTCTTCTCTTCGTTCAACCTCTTCTCTTCGTTCAACCTCTTCTCTTCGTTCAACCTCTTCTCTTCGTTCAACCTCCCCTCTTCGATCAAACTCCTCTCTTCGTGCAAGCATTTCAAGACGTACAACAAGGTTTTCAGGCTGATAATCACTCTTTTCAAGTACTTCAAACCGTTCAAGTCGTACATAAAGATGTTTCATCTGGATAACCCGTTCAAGCTCCACAAGCAGTTTACACTGCTTTACTTTGCTTTCTACTTCAGTTTCGTCAAATTGTTTAACCACTGAATTTAATCCAGTCAAGCTATTTAGTTTACTAAACTCTTCAAACACTCCTAACTCTTTCCAAATGAAAGTCCGCCGCAAACGTTCAAAGAAAAACAGATGATGGCAAACGGTGTTTAACAAGGCAATATTGCAAAGTGACAGCGACTTGTCTATACCAGAAAACAATACCCGACATTTCTCGAGCGCAGTTCCCAAATGACAAACGTAGGTGAACGGGCTCAACTGAACGCCTGAAGAAAAGGCCTGTTCAAGGGCAGATTTACCAGTTTGCATATCCCAAACTTGATATTTGAATATCTCATTGTAGTGAGAGATAACGAAATCACGCACAACTGTCAAAGTTGGCGTCTCCCCCCTCATCCGTGATGGACAATAGCTGCATACGGCCTTAAAAGGGTAATTGAGTTGCAACTTTTCCAACAGAGAGCACCACGCATCGTGGTGTGTTCGTCTTAGAATATTTAACAAGATTCTCATCGCTGGAACAGCAGAATCTTGATCTTCCCCTGCAGAACGCCGAGTTTCCACAAGCAGTCTGTGAGGAAAACAACCACAAATTGCTTCACTCCCGTCAGTCTCATGACCCTGACCAATTTCCTCGGCAGCCCACAGACAAAGGTAATTCAACAAGCACAACCAACAACAGCCATAATTTGATTTAAATGAAAAATTGCAACGTTTTACAACAATGCACTGCTTATCAAGAGTAAATGAGCCCCATTCGTAGCTTGAATCAATCCTTGAAAACTGAGGAAATTTCTCCACATTTTCGTTCTCCAAAGAAAACCATCTATCAAGCCGCCCAAAAAACAAAAACTTGCCATCTGGAGAGAATCTCAAGCACTTGCTCGCAGACATTAAATCGATAGAGGAAAACACACCTACACATTTAAGCGAATACGAATCAAACAAAGAGATATGTTTCCAGTGTCTTTCAGCAAACAGCTTCCTATCAGGAGACAGTGCAAAGTTGCTGCTGTATTCAAGACTCTTACAAGGCAACTGAGGCATCGTATTCAATAGTAGCCAAGGGGCTGAGTCACCATTTGGGATAACAACGTTGTCTTGGACAACATTAGATGCATTCTGTAGACAAGAATGCAGAAGGTAAGGACATTCCAAGAGAACATAAATATTTCCTTCAAGAGCTGAGCTCACCCCACAGAGAATTTCTTTCCTGCCCTCACCGTGAAACTGACAGTCTGCCGCAAGCTTATAATCTTCAATAAGGGAATATATCTCAGTTCTTCTGCTCTGTATTCTGTTTTCAATATATTTGAAACTTGTTAAACAACTGAAAACTGTTTCCAATGAATCCTTCCCTGGAAATCCTCTCAAAAAGCGAATGCCGAGGCGTAAAACGTAGTCAAACAAGTCAGGTTTCATGAGGGTAACTTCCTGAGATTGCTCACGGATAAAACCAAAGAGAATTTCATGGATAACATCTTTGAGATAATTGGCTTCAATGTTCCTGTCAATGAACAGTTCCTGAGCCTTGTTCTCGTCAGTCAACCACGTAGGAATCAGATTGTGCAGGAAGGCGAACGTCTTCGAGAACACCATAAACAGGGAAAAGGCATCTAACACATGCTGCTTGGGAATACTCGATTTTTCTCTCTGGAGGACGTACGAAATAAACGAGACGGGAAGCGGGGCAGGAGCGGCAATGGCACAACCAAACAACTTCTTGAACAAGCTAGATCCCACTTTGTCAAAAACACGCTTGAAATTTTTTCGAAGGAAGCTGTCAAAGTCTCCAGGGAAAAGATCAACCAGCTGAAATGACTTACCTGATTGCACTGGAGCGTTCAAGTCTTTGGCAATGTAGAACGCATACAAAAACGATCCATTGCACCTCTTCGCCAAGTCATCCACCGAGAAGGGGAGGCGGGAGAAATTTACATTCTTTCTTAGAAACAATTTGATGTCCTGCTCGTGCTGCTGATAAAAATTGTCGTGTTCGACATTTCCGGCACAAATTCTTACACAAGGATTGTACTTTTTCAATCTAAGCTGCACCGTGTTTTCAGGGCGACTGGTAATGAAGAACACAAGCCAGTTTGGAAGTAGAGGAAAGCGGTTCATTATAAGATCAAGAAAATCTTTCCTGGACTCGTACTGCGTCTCATCCAGAGCGTCAACAACCACTAACTTTTTCTGGTGACAAAAAGTAGAGTTGCACTTACCAAGAGGCTCTTGTAATAATTTAGTAAACAATTCCTGAACACCTAGATTAGAATTGCCTAAGAACTTTCTTATACCACCCTCCCCTCCCATAATGCTATTGTACTCACTACTGCATTCACAGAGTTGATTAGCAATAGTCCCAAGAAGATACCTGGGATCATTCCTTGTACTGTCATTGTGACGGCAAAAGTAGGCAGCTCCTAAGTTTCCAGCTTTCCTCGAGCGCTGTGCCAGGACTCCCGCCATCACACTCTTGCCAACGCCTGGATCGCCTAAGACAACATACGCTCTGGAGTCGCCAGGATCACTGAACCATTCGTCAAAATCTTTTAAAAGCCACTGTCTTGTAGCTGCGTCACAACGCTCGGCAAAAAAGGCGATGTCTGATTCGCAATTGGCAATTTCTGTGAACAAGAATAAAATGACACCTATTAACAGGTTAACCTTTATACTGTCAAGCAAATTATATTTAAACCACTGGTTTTGTCTTTCTAAAGACAAGCACGGGAATACAGGAATACAGGCTGCAATATCATTCATTGCAGGAAAGGATATGTCATAAATTCCCTTGTTTTCGTATCAAGGGATATGTGACGGAGTCGCAAACTGTCCAGCTCCCAGTTGGCTTGATAGCTCAGTTAGTAGAGCACTACACCGGTATCACCGAGGTGATGGGTTTGAATCTCTTTCATGCCTGCATTTTTTCAGGCTACATTTTGTGTATATAACAGGGATGAAGTCTTTCACGGAATACTTATAATTACGGTCGTCGAGATTCCTATCGCGTATGATGACAGCGTTGGAACTGGCCAATGTACTCTAAAAGTTCAAGAGCATTCAAGGAATATTTTTGAGGACCGAAAAGGAGTTCTCGTCATTCTCCTATTTTTAGTTTGCATGACATTTTCAAGCATTTCCATCAGACTATGACAGTTAATACAAACACTCAATTGAAAACCGCTCTAATAGCATATTGAATAGTAATTGCATTCATTATTTCATTTGCAGGCTGCTTGATATTCTCTGATGCTGGTAACCATGCCTCCATGATCCAGGGAATCAGGAACAGTGGAGCTAAGAAATTCATTTTCCGTCACAATGACGTAGAACACCTGGAACAGCTTCTAGAACAGGCAGACCCTGATGTGCCAAAGATTGTAGCTTTTGAAACTGTGCATTCCATGACTGGAGATGTGTGTCCATTGGAGGAGCTGTGTGATGTTGCACACAAGTATGGGGCATTGACTTTTGTTGATGAGGTGAGTAGTTCAGAATTCTACATTTTTGTAGCAATGAGTTGAGGTTACATTTGTCTTCTTCTACTTATGTATAGCATTTTTGTTTGTACATCTTGTGTTAAACTGAAATGCCTGTCAAAATGAGCTGCAAAAAGAATTGCTTGATGTTACAGGGCTACTAGTTGACAATGTTTTCAGTACTTTACTAATAAAGTATACATTCATGAAATGCCTTGGTCTAAGTTCTAAATTGAGAACCAATTGTGTTTATTGGACTTGCACTGAATGAAGTTATGTTGGGGTTTGATAGGTTCACGCAGTGGGTCTGTATGGTGACAGTGGTGCAGGTATTGGGGACCGTGACGATGTTATGGACAAGATGGACATTATTACTGGAACCCTGGGCAAGGCATTTGGAGTGATTGGCGGATACATTGCTGCATCTGCAGCCCTTGTCGACAACGTCCGCAGCTATGGATCAGGTTTTATCTTCACCACTTCTTTGCCACCAGTCACGGTCAACTCTGCCATAACGTCTGTTAATATTCTGGCTAGTGATGAAGGGCGCCGCCTGCGCGAGAAACATCAGAGTATTGTGCGCACTCTAAGGAACAAGCTTGTCAGTGCTGGTCTCCCTGTGGTGTACGCACCCAGCCAAATCATCCCAGTGCATGTAAGTGTTTCAGTGTTGAGCAGTATATATCTTTTTTTACTTAAATGACAAACTTAACAACATGTAATTGCTGTTTTTTGTCTAACAAAATGAAATTGATCTCAATATTCACAGGTTGGGGATGCTGCAAAGTGCACAGCCATCTCCAATGATATGCTGACCAAGCATGGCATATATGTACAATCCATCAACTATCCCACAGTGGAGCGTGGCAAGGAAAGGCTGCGCATTGCACCAACTCCCGAGCACAATGAGAAGATGATGGACAAGTTCATCGATGCTTTGGTCCAGGTCTGGCAGGACAACGATATGGGTTTCCTGACCCCAGTCTGCACCACTGAATGCGACTGTCAGGAGCGCTGCATCACTTATAAGGAGCTCGACTGCAACAAGTATGCTTCTCAGGTTGGCGCCTAGAGTGTTGACCAGGGTTGCATTCCAAATCAACGTCTCCAGTTGGTTTGTGTGGTTCTCACTTCTGAGAATCTTGCACAATGGAATTAATCTTAATTTTCAAATTGTAATTTCTGCTGAAATTGAAATAATCATGTACTCGTGTAGATGTGTCTGTGTGTTCTTTGTCTAGTGTTGTCCTTCTACCACTCGTGGCCTGGTTATTTCCAGTGTATCAATGCTTTTGTAGATGTCCCTGATCGTTCACCAATTTCCACCAAAACAACAAACTTGTGTAGTTGAGAACTGCCTGCCTTAGACTTTCCTGTTCTGGAATTTCCTTTCCTTTATTTCCTCTTTGTTTTTTGCTCATTGTGTCCGTAATGAAACAAACCTCAAACCTCTGCAATCTAACTAATTTTATGGAGACTTGACCTTACTAATTTTTTGTTTTGTTTTGTTTTGTTTTGGGGGGGAAGGGAGGGATGCTGCCCTTATGCCATCAAAACTCTTAGAGAATTATCTTAGGGTTTAATTTTTCATTTTTTTTTTTTCTTTTTTTTTTACTGTGGGTGACTGCCTTTATGCCAATACGAACTATAAGTTTGGTCTTGCCTTGATGCAAGATCTTTACATATCGTGGAGCTCTGCTATTGTGGGGGTTATTGCCTTTATGCCTCACTGTTGATGACTACCAAAAGCCAAGTGGGTCATTGAAATCTGCCTTGGAACGTTAACAATCCTGACTGCCCTTATGCCATGAGGCTTTACTGTGTTACCACAATGACTAGTAACACCTACATATACACAGAATACGAAGCTAAACAACCTGGTATCTGATGTTCATTGCACTTTGACACATCATGTCCCGATGATGCCAAAACACTGTTTTGTGTTCATTGCCCAACGATGGCTGCTTACCATCAATTCATGGTTTATTTAACAGAATTCTCAACTTTTCCGAGTGCAGCCCGCATGAGGAATGTGACACGCCCCTCCCCCACATTAAGTGAAGGGCAAGAGTATTGTTATAGACCCTAACCAAATGCGAATTTCTTGTGGATATGCACGACATTTTGCGCAGTATTTCGACTGCTCAAGTTCAAGATGTGTGGAGTGACTGCCTTTATGCCATTAAAGACTTTAATCAAGGCTTCAGGGAGCCTTTATTTTTTCCAGTGCTGTTTAGCATTGTGGAAAATAGTTAGTTAACAAATTTAGTTGCACGTTTTACATGATGTAACCGTAGCAGATATGTGGTTCTGTAAACATTTTTTTAGTTGAACACAGTACCACAGCTACCTAATGGAATTTCCAAGAGAGTTTTATCGAATCGCGGGGAGAAAGTATCAAATGGGAGACGCGTTTTAAAGGAGCTACGAGCGATCGACGAATGTTTAGGAGTTGCATTAAGTAGCTGTGGCGCTTCTAAATATAAAATCAACCTGAGAATACACAAGACTAGGGAGATAGTCATTTGGGAGAAGTTGCTTTCAACTGGATTTGTCGATAGAATAGAAAAAAATTTGACCCTTAATCTGGGTTTTCGTTATTTGGACTTGGTTTCAATATGGTGTTGGGTTTGATAGTATTTCTTACAATATGGTGGGAGCTATTTGTACCTCTAGTCATCTTAAGAGGTGAAACTTCTAGACTCACACCACTGTATTTAGTCTTGGGGTGTAGAATAAAAATTGCATCAAATGAGCATCTCGTATGTATTGTTAAAATGGAATATGGATGCCTCATACAGTGATTACTATCACCTTGCATGATGTAGTGTAATCACACGCCTTCACTTAACGTGGACCATCGGTTCCTTTCTTGTATGTTTTTCCTTCTGCAGCGGTTTCTGTTTCTTCCAAGAACCAAATCCCTGACCCTTCTCCATCTTTTTTCGACTGTTTTTCACCACATTTCTCTTTTCAATCCCCTCCCCTAACTTGGGTAAAAACGGTGTAGTAAAAGAAAAAACTGTTTCGAAATGATGTAAACACTAAAGAATAAACCACACCCCCAACGGACGCGGGGAGGGGATTTTACCTTACCCGGAAACATCTCTCATTAAAAATAAAAGAGTACCTGGGTTAATATAATAGGCCATTTTCGAGTTGCCTTTTGCCTCAGTTTCAAAACGAGTCTTAGTGCGAAACCATTCAAATGAAATATTTTCGCCTACAGGTTCATTTACATGCAAATCAAACTCGTTTTCATATGAAAGGTTTTGCACGGAGACTCGTTTTGAAACAGAGGCACTAGACAACTCGGGAGATGGCCTATTGTATTCTTGGGGAGGAAGGAGAGTGGGAAATATTCCAATTTAGCTAAGCTGGCGCTCAACGTGGCTTACTACGGTTTCCATGAATGAGTCGGGGATCATTTCTCCACATGGGTTGATTATTTCCATGAAATTACGTGGCCTGTTTAAAACACCCTTAAAATTAAATTCCAGTGCTCATAACTTGAAAAGAAGTACAGTGACCCTCATTTTGTATTCATCAGCATGTCAAGATTCAACTTTCACAAAGTTTATTCGGAGGCAGAGAAATCGTCTCTGCGCTTACTTTCTTTCCCCAATGCAGAAACCTGATTTGATTGAAGACATATTTCAACCGCGGCTCCTGAGAGCGTATTTTCACGAGAGGGAAAATACGACGACAGGTTTAATAGCGAGAACTGTCTCGCAGCAAACGGTAAATTTTGTAATATAGTCATCCCTCTCCAGGGGGCGGGGGGTGGGGGAAACCCCAATATAAAAATGACGGGGGTGCTCGTCGTAACTTTGAGGGATTAAAAAAGCGGTTTTGGTACCTCGTGGGGTGCTCAGCCTCAAAAGGTCCACAGCGGGAGCTTTTTCGCTACCTTTTAGGGTATTGAGCTGAAAAAAAATTGACAGGAGGTAATGTGTTGTTTTAGAATTGGTGTATCTTAGGGGTTAAAACATTTCAAGCCACGCCCACAAAACACGATCTTGGTACCTCTTAGGGTTTTTTTTTTTACAGAATTTCCGACGAGCACCCCCGTCCTTTTGACATGGGAATTTTCCGCCCGGTATCCCACTAAACAGCCCAAACGTTTAATGCTTTAATGCTTTAATTGGATATTCTTAGAAACAGTAAAATACTATACTAGGAGGTTTAAAGTTAAACTTAAATCTATATACACAATAATAAAATCTTATTTACATTTACACGTTGATTTTGTGTTTAACAGCCAGGTACAACTAACTTTACTGAATACTGCAAGCGTTGATACTGCGCCAAAGCGTCAACCTCCTAAATAGCGAACACGTTGATTTTGTGTTAAATAGTCATGTCTAGTCTGAAATGAGCATTATTGGTAGTGATAGGGATCTTCAGAGTCAATTTTTAAGCATGTTGAGATGCAACGTTTTGCCAAGTGTAAAAAAATTCTGTTGGGTGGACGTGGATTATTCATACCCATCTCAAATTTTCGAAAATTTAGGGTGGTTCTGAACCCACACTACAGGATTTGATTACACTTTGCAAAAAGTTGCATGCTAAAACTAAGGCCGGGTACGTGTTTTAACGGGTTGCATCTTTGCTATGGTAGCCTATTAAACCATGGAGACTTCTGGGCATTATTTGTGATACCAGTATTGTAACATTACTTGTAAAGTTTGGTAGTATTAATCTTTCAAAGTATGTAACTGCTGGAGTGAAAGTGCTTAGAACATGGACATCATAAATGATATCTCCGAAATTAAACGCATCAGATATTTTTGGGTGTTTAAAATGTACTGATTTCTGTAAGAAAAAGTGATGTTTGTCGCACATTCTCACCCAAGTCCCCATGGTTGCCCCGGAGATGGTCCCCTAGGGGAAGCTGCGAATTGTGCAGCGTACAAATTATGCATGAATTGCAAATTGTGAAGCTAATATACACAAGATGTGATCTGACTTGTGTTCTTCTGTAACATGAATAAATTACCATCCGTTTTGATGATATCAACTGCTCGCAGCTTAGAAGTCTTAGAAGAACGAGTTTTAGAAGATAATGGACAAAGCAGAAGGCAAGACGACAAATAATTCTAAAGAGAGCACACGAAACGTCGCTTGTTTCTTCGTGCTGGGAGTATTATCTTTGATTTATGATGAAATTTCCCTGGCAGCGGCCGAGGACGTGTTGGCCGGCAGTATTATTCCTACTACAATTGTCATCATTGCTATCGCTATACCAGTGCTAGGCGTGAAGACAACTGCTCCGTGGTTTCTTGAGAAGTGTTCTTACTTACACAAGTCGTGTGTTGTGGTGTTCTTGCTAGTGACAGGATTAATCGTGATTGTAGCAGTCCAAAATGTTCACTGGCGGTTGTTTGGTATTAGTGTTATTGAATCGGGAGTGAGTTTTAGCGAGATTACATTCCTAGCCTTGACTGCATCTTATCACGAAGTCACTGTCAGCGCGTTTGTGGCGGGGATAGGTGTTGCTTCACTCCTTGGACCGTTATATTACACAGGTTAGTAAAGACGCTTAATTTTGGGCCAAGTTCGGTTTAATTTATAACGTGTGGAATATTTTTGCAAGGGTAATTAGTCAGATAGCTAAATACTAACGACATCACTTTTAGATCAACTTTAGAAATAGGTGAGCTGACTCTGTAGGTATGATGAGGGTCTTAGACTCTTATTTCTGCAGTAACCAAAATCAATCCTTTTATTATAAAGCCCGGTCCTCACTAGCGACGCAAGCATAAGCATAAGCATTAGCATAAGCATAAAAGAAAGCTTAAGCAAACCACAACGACGACGGCAACGAAAACGTCACCAAACGAAAGGTTTAATGAGCAAAACAATAGCTGTGCACGTGCGTTCTAAATCTTTGTACATTTCTTTGCCGTCCTCTGCAAGACAACAACGTGAAATGACGAAGTTCTGCGTCGTCTAAGGAACGCGGACGACGACGACTAATTTTTCGTGTTTCCATTTGGACTTGAACGCTGTCATTGCATATTTAGCCTAAGCACGTTTTAAGAGCCGTTGACGTACTGAACAGATCTAGACAATAACGAATTTCGGTTGTAAAATGAAAATTCATTTTTTCACTGAGCGTCGTCCTCGGCGTCGTCGTTGTCGTTGCTTAAGCTCCCTAATGTATCAGTGTTTTATAATACTGATACAATTTGCTTCTTTTTTCTATATATCTTGTAGTTGGTACTATAAACAGATTAGCGAACAGCAAGTGGACACTGCTCGACATGGAGATTTCCATGATTCAAAAGTGCGTCATTTTCTGCCAAAGAAAATTTGCATTTCACGGAAATTCCGAAATATTGAACGGTTTCTTAAATGTTCAATATTAAATTGCGCATTGGTTATTGACGGAAAATTGAAGTACCTCCTAAAGTAGGTCATCTTACTTAACACATTTACGCCACTGTGTGTAAAGGTGACGTAAAGTTGGCATATAAACAACGATCCGGCTTCTTTGTTGTTGTTTTGTTGTTTTGGACGCAGTGCTTATTCCGGCGAGGGCGACGCTTGTTAAAATTTTCTCTCTCGTCTGTGGCTCTTTTTCGAGGGCGGCCCATACTCGACTAAATACCGGGCTAAGTACGTCCCAGTACACTTCCTGAACTCTCCCTTCCCCCCGCCATATAGGAGGAGTAGTGAATGGTAAATACGAGGCTTTGCGAGAAAGCTAGGCGAACGTTTTTCTTTGCGAGAGTCCGAGACATTTTGACTTTTTCAATTGCGAGACCGAGACTTCAGTGTGTTTTAAATGCGAGTTCGAGAGTCTTAGGTTCTAAGACGTTCAGACGTCATTTATATATAAAAACAACAAACAAATCGATTTTTCGAAACGTTCTTAGCTTTGCAAAAAGTGGAGACTGCCAGACGCACAGAACCGATGAATAAACGAGACTGCGAGACCTGTGAAATTCGACGAAACGTTTTCAGTCGTGACACATGGTTTTTGAAGGATCATTCGCCATTCCTTATGGGGGTTCAACCTCTATATAGCACGGGAAAGAGAGAGAACAAAACTGCGCGGACACTCCGATAGCCTATTAAAGGTCGATAGAACATGGAATAGTTAAGCCATGGATAGTAAAGAGATCCAGTCTTCTACTATCCATGGTTAAGCCATTCAGTTTGCAAGTTAACATGAGTTAGTCCCTGGGTATGGTTTTTCCTAGCTATGCTGGGAACTCTTTATTAACCAGATAGAATTTCTCTTTTTGTCTTACAGCCCTCACCACCTGGGTGTGCTTGCCTCCACGAATAGCCATGTCAACAACTATTCCTTGGCCATTTCTCGTTTTATTAATGTACGCATTCTTGGAAAAGAATGACATCAACGGCAAAACAAAAGAACGTGGAGATGTCAACTACGAAAAGTTGCCATCAAGCGAAAATGACACTGATGAACCAGAGGGAAATTTTCAGAATAGCTTAACTTGGAAAAAGAAATTCTCCGTCGCAAAGCAGATTTTACCATACATCATCTACTTGTTTCTAACATACTTTGCAGAATATCTCTCAAATCAAGCCATTATTACCACCATTGCGTTTTCCAACGCCTCGTTCAGCCCAAGGGATCATTATCAATACTACATCGTGTGCTATCAAGTGGGAAAGTTCCTCGGTAGGTCCCATATTTTCTTCCTCTCCTGCACCTGCTCAAAAGTGATCCCTTACGTGCGAGTCAAGAAGACCTGGATCCTTGCTCTGATAGAAATAGGACATCTTCTCTTCTTTGTTTTTGCTTCGTGGTTTCGTTTTGTACCTCATGTGAGCATCATACTTATTCTTTGTATCACGGAGGGGTTTGTAGCGGGATCTATGTATGTTAACTCTGCTCACACCGTTTCTGAAGTAATTTCTGAGCCGAAGCAAAGAGAATTTGCCTTAGGGCTGCTCACTATCGGAAACGGATTGGGCAAACTATCAGCCGGTTTCTTGGGACTTCATGTCGAACCACAGCTAAAGAAACATTGCGTTTATGACCTGGAGTTACGGGATCAGTGCATCACCAGATATCCGCAGAAATCAGGTTGGACAACAGATAAACACTGTAGCTCTGATGTTGCGAACTCAACAATGTCCTAAAACTTAATTCGTAACAAATATCGTCTCTCTCTTCAGCAGAGGCTCAAAACGTCCGTTATATAAAGCCGCTGTGTGACGTGAGTGCAGGCGCATGACGCAACTTAACTCTGGGCCTGCACTCATATCGTTTAGCGGATTCTCCCCACCCGAAAAAAAAACCCTTTGAGTCTCTGGAGGAAAGAAACAAATATCAAGACAATTACTGACTGATAAGCGCAGCGTTTGAAATTCGAAAATCGTACTCGTACTCAAACTCGTACTGGTAGTCCAATCTATAGGCCTCTATTACGATGAAAGCCGGTCTGAGACCAGATATGATGCAGGCAACGCGCGTTTTACCTTCTAATTCAGCCCTAATATGATAGTCTCCTTCCTTCTGTTATTATACCCCTCCACTAAAAAGAACTTGAACGGATGTAGGCTCCTTCTCTCACTGGTGGGATTCACCGTATTTCATGGTATAGCCTTCCTAATAGCCTCCT